TCCTCCCGCTCCTCCTCGGGCTCTGGTGCTGTTGCTGCTGCTGCAGGCTGAGGCGGTGGCGCCCTAGGCCTCCTCTCGGCCACCCTCCTCCAAGGTGGTGCCGACCCCCCAGCTTCACCTGAGGGCCCTGGTGTACTGCCCCCCGTGTCGTAAAGTGACCTGACCGCCCGCAAAGCTCTGTGGCCCGCCATCTTTGCACAATCACCTACAAGACATAAACAATAAGATCGGATTAAATGGATCATAAACAAGACATTATTATAAAGAGATGCAAAATAAATAAAGCATAATTAAAAAATAACATAACATTACATGTATTAGAAATAATCATCCCCATCGGGTTTAGCTGGATCATAGCTCTGATCAACACTATCAGCCATGTCGAAATGTTCAACACTTTCCAAAGGAGCAACTATGTCATCATTGCCATTGCCAATATGTAATCCTTCAAGTAACGCCAAGTCCTTCGCATTTTCCACCTCATCCCCCTCGTCCACATCAACATCCATTTCATTGTCTACTTCCATTTCCATAGCTCCGGTTAAGTCAATCTCAAAAGTCCTTTATAGGCCCTTTTCTTGATAGAACTCTCCATCATATGTGTTTGGGTCGAAGTTGTAGTCTTCGGCGTTTGGGGAAGGTGCTTTACCGTGCGGCGATACCTTGTGCACAATATCCCAACCCTAAAGACGAGGGTCCCTTTGGCACGAGTAGGGGAGATAATAAACTTGTGTGGCATGTTGAGCCACAATATAGACATCCTTTCCGCCATAGACGGAATCCTGTCGAATTTCTACTAGCCCAAGGGAAGGACTTCGTCTCGTTTCTTGAGGATCAAACCAATGGCATTTGAATACGACAAGGTTAAGAGGTTTGCGACCACGAAACCTAAGTTCGTATATTTCTTCAATTCTTCCATAATACTCGGCCCCATCAAGGCCGCCAATAAAAACTCCGGAATTCGTGGTTTTTTCGATTGGGCCGGCTCTGCTCGTGTCTTGTTGTGTGAAATTGGTATCCATTCACATCATAACCAGAAAATGACTTGACCCTATGTTCAAAGCCATTGACAACCTGTCTCAACTCTGGATTCATAGTCAAATCGGTTTGGCTCTGCAAGGTCAAGGAGGATAGATCGTTAAATTAGAATGTACAAGCAACTGGGAATGTCAATCGGGCGAACGAGCTAAATTGCATAGTACCTTTTGTTTGAACCAAGAAATAAAATCAGAGATTCCATTTCCCGCACCCTGATGAAGAATGGTGTCACGTTCTTGCGGGGTAGGTTCCCTTGATAGATGCCAGTTCTCATTAATAAACTCCCTGTAACAACGAGAAACAAGGAGGTTGGATGCAGAATGTTGACGGCATATTTAATTAACAAGTTCGTGCAAGAAGCCACTTACTGCATGTACGGCTCCATTTCGGTAAGATTGGTGAACACATATATAATGATTGTGAGCCACTCTTCGTTTTTCAACAACAATGAGGTCGCATCACTCGCACTTCCAAGTTGCCCTTGGAAAAGGCTGAGTTTTGATTCATTTTCACCAGCATTGTAACGAGGGGGTCGATTATGCACGCTAGGAAGCTTGTCACCATAGTATGCTTGTGTGAAGTTAGTAACCTCCTCTAGAACGAATGCCTCCACCATGGAAGCCTCGATTTTGCATTTGTTTCGAAGAACCTTTTGACATCTCTCGATTGGATAGCACCAACGGGCCTGCACGGGCCCCCCATTCGTGCCTCATACTGGAGGTGCAGAATCAAATGCTGCATCGGGTTGAAGAAGCCGGGTGGAAAGATCATCTCCAACTTACAGAGCAACACAAGTGCTATTTTTTCCAATTCTGCAACCACGCTACGAGATAACTCCTTGGCACAAAGCTGGCGGAAGAAATAGCTCAACTCGGCTAGCGTCTTCCACACATGCTCAGGGACATAGCCTCGGAGCATTGCCGAAAGAAGACACTCAATCCATATGTGATAGTCATGACTCTTCAGGCCGTTGATTCGCAAGGTAGATAAGTTCACTCCCCTCCTCAGGTTCGCTGCATACCCATCAGGGAACATTAATGTTTTGAACCATTCTAATATTTCTCTCTTTTGTTCCGGTTTCAATCTGTAATCGGCCTTAGGCCTTGTCCATTTCTTGCCGCTTCTAGGAGGTTGCATGTGTTGCTTTGGTCTATCACATATCGTTGCCAGGTCCAGTCTCGCCTTTACATTGTCCTTCGTCTTATCCTTAATGTCCATGATCGTTGCCCAAAGCGCCTCGGCAATATTCTTCTCGGTGTGCATTACATCAATGTTGTGTGGAAGAAGAAGGTCGTTATAATAGGGGAGCATCATCAAGGGCGACTTATGAGTCCACATATGCTCCTCACCATATCCCACGAACCTACCATCTTTTTCATTGATCCAGAGAGCATCTATCTGATCATGAACCTCGGCACCGGTCATCATTTGTGGTGCGGGGTCTATAACCATGACACCTTTAGTAAAGTTCTTGATGTCTCGTCTGAATGGATGCTCAAAGAGGAGGAATTGTCGATGTTTGTCGAACACGGAATATTTGTCGCCTATTCCGCAGCCCAATTGAACTGCAGAGTTTGCCTTGCACAAGGGGCATGGAAACTTCCGTGAACACACCAAGCGCTGAATATCCCATATGCTAGGAAGTCATGCATGGAGTATTGATACCAAACATGCATGTTGAAGTTTGTCTTTGTAGCTCGATCGTATGTCCATACACCATGGTCCCAAGCATGGACCAGTTCATCGAACAAAGGCTCCATGAACACACCCATGTTATTCCTGTGGTGTTCGGAATTATCAACGACAAGAACACATTACATTGTTGGAAGGAGACGCCTGTGGGGAGATTGAGAGGGATAACAAACACGGGCCAACAAGTGTATGGGGCAGCCATCATTCCATAAGGATTGAACCCATCATTGCCGATTGCAACACGCACATTACGTGCCTCCCCACTTTGTTACGATGAATGTTATCAAAGTGATGCCATGCTTCACCATCGGCTGGATGTACCATCTTCTCGGGATGTATATCTTTTTCCATTTTTGTGCCATATCATCATTTCGCGGACTCCTCTCATCATGAATAGCCGTTGGATCCTCGGTATGAATGGAAGGTACCGTAGGATTTTCACGGGTACGGACTCGCCTCTTCTCACCATCACGAGAGTACCTCCAGATACCTAGAGGATTTACACTTTGGACAAGATTACTTTGCATCCGCATGTGCTTTTCTAAAGAGGACGCAGCCCTTTGGACAAGCATGTATCCGCTCATACGACATCTTAAGTGCACGAAGGACCTCTGCGATTCGTACATGTTCTATGGCGAAGGTGACCGCCGGAAGGATGGAGCCAATAAGCATCAACATTTCATCAAAGTTCTCTCGACTGAGGTTGAACAGGGACTTTAAGGCCATTAAGCGTGAAATGCCATCAAGCTTTGAAATCTATGTGTGGCCATGAAGGGGTTTCCCTGCCGCAGACAACATGTCGTAATACGCCTTTGCGCTTGCCTCTGGCTCCTCCTCCTCCTGTTGCCTACGTCCATCAGCGAAGTGTGCTTCATGAAAGTCATCTAACCAAGCTGCTACCCCGGCATCAGCATTGTAATCCTCGACACGTGGTCTCACCACCTCCTTTCTCACACGATTGGCTTCACTGTGGTGGGTCCACTGGGTATAGTTTTTCGTAAATCCATGCCTAGCCAGATGTGAAGTCATCACCTCCTTTGTCTGCCTCTTTCTATTCTTACAGTTGATGCAGGGACAAAAAACGGCACGCGCTCCGGGAGCTTGGTCAAATACTTGCTTGATGAAAGCCTCAGTCTTGTCGACCCATTCTCTGGTAATCTCACGGGCGCTCTGGCAGCTCGAGTACATCCACTCACAATCATCCATCCTCTAACATATATATCACTAAGTAATAAATATAACCATGGACTTGCATCTACACGTCGTTCCTACCATCTAATAGGTAAGGATAGGTCCTAATCCCACCCGGGGATGCGTAGATGGTGTTAGTTCCCATGGTCTAGTCCTATCCAAAATAGAATTTCGGCAGCACCTCCCCGCTGTTCTCCAAATACACGTCCCGACAGGGAGATTGTGTATCCGGAGAACAACAGGAAAGTACTGTCGAAACTCTGTCTCAGATCGGAGCAGACCATGGAAACTAACACCATCTGCGCATCATCGGGCTATCAAAAAAACGTGGACAATTCAAAACAGATACGGTTATTGATATGCAAAGATCTGCATATTTCTAACCGTATCTCTTTCGAACGGGAGACACCTAACTGGGTTACGTGGAGATACATGACCAGGACAAAAAAGAGTGGTTATACCTTAGGTGGCGGTGAAGTCGGGCTAAGCGGGGGGCCGTGGCGGGTCGGTGCGAGGGCGAGGCGACGTGGTGAAAGGGCAGACACTGGGACACAGGGTACTCTAACTCGGCTCTGCAAAAAAAAGAAAGAAAGAAGCAAAATAACGTCAACTCAAAAATTCGGCAGCATCTCCCCTGAACGGTGAGGTTTCCAAACCTGAAAGAAAACCATGGCACGATGGCCGACAACCACATATATATCAAGGAACCACATGCAGGTTAATTATCAACTACTACTACTCTAACTACTACAACTACTACTACACTAACTACTACTACCACTACTAATACCACTACTACAACTACTAACTACTACTAATACCACTACTAATACCACTACTACAACTACTAACTACTACTAACACTACTACAACTACTACTCTAACTAATGCAACTACTACTACACTAACTACTACTACCACTACTACAACTACTAACTACTACTACCACCACTACTACCACTACTACAACTACTAACTACTACTACAACTACTAACTACTGACTACTACTACCACTAGTACTACTTAGACTACTACTACAACTACTAACTACTACTACCACTAATACTACTTAGTATACCTTGTTCCTCTCCGTGGCGAGGGCGAGGGCAAGGGCGAGGCCGAGGGCAAGGACGAGAGCGAGTCGAGGTGCGTGCGAGGGCGAGTCAGGGTGCGGGTGAGGACGAGCCCGAGGGCGAGGACGAGGAGGGACGCGAGCGAGGATGAGGGCGAGTCAGGGCTTGCGCGAGGGCGAGTCAGGGCGCGGGCGAGGACGAGCCCGAGGGCGAGGACGAGGAGGGAGAAAGGCGGCATGGGCGGGCGAGGAGGGCGCAGCCCGGCGGCGGGCGTATGGCGTGGGCCGGGGGCATGGGCGGGCTTGGATGGGCTGGCCGGCTGTGGAGGGCACGACCAGCGGGCGCGGGCATGCCATGTGCGTGTGCCGGCAGTGAGGGTTGGTGGGGGGGGCCACATGGCTGATATGTGTGACGGGGACGTGGCGGATGGGGCGGGCTGGCCGGGCGGTGGAGGCGAGGCGAGGCTCAAGTGAGCGGAATGGCGGCAAGTATGCATGAAATAAACGGTTCACCTTATGGGCTTATGGGGCTGGCGAAAGCAGTTAAGTGGCTGAAGCCACTTTGCCGAGAGCCAGATCTGGGAGGCTCTCGGCAAACCTTCCCCCTTTGCCGAGAGCCCCCAGATCCGGCTCTCGGTAAAGTTATTTTTTTTTTCAAATTTCGTTCAAATTTTTTAACTAGCTAACTGCACAAAAAATATAAAAAAAATAAAAATTATTATTTGCCGAGAGTAGCTCTTGGCAAACTGAACAAAAAATGATATTTCTAAAAAAAAATTAAATCTTTCCCGAGAGCAGCTCTCGGCAAACCTCTTCGCTGAGAGCCAGGTCTCGGCAAACCATTGATCCAGGCTAGGTAAAAAAAAGAAATCTGCGCCAAGAGCGGGCCTAGATGCTCTCGGCAAAGAGCCTTTGGCGAGAGCAATCCCCTAAAGCTCTCGGCAAATAATATCCAAATTTTTTTTAATAAACAGCAAACGGCTCCGAAAAAATACGAAATTTTGCCGTGTTACAACTTATGCTCTCTAATGGCTATACAAAAAGTTTGGAACTCCAAAACTAAGTCGACCGTGACATTGTTTGAAAATCCTAATGGATCCTTCTCAACTTTATGAAACTTATTCGGAGATGTCTCAGATTGTAAGAATCATACGCAACCACTTGTGCGAAACATTTTCAATTTTTTACCACAGCCTCCAAGTGTGATACCATGACTTCATTACAAATATCACAATTTTCCGACTTCGTTTCCTTTTTTAAGAATTTTTAAATCGTTGGGCGACATATGTTCGTGGTCTTCGATTTGTAAAATAAAAGGTGAAAAAAACGTCAACAAGATGTTATTTGCCCTCAATAATGCATAAATAGCATGAATATCATTTTCTACTTAATTTTTTCCTGTGTTTAAATCAATCGCTGTTCAAATTTTAATCGATTAAAAAACTCCTTGAAATGCAATTAATTAATTATATATAGCAAATAATTACAAAAATACACAAAATTTTAATATTGAGTACAACCTGTAGTATGTCTATAGAGAAAAAAAGTTTGGAGCATATGAAAGAAAAAATAATTTAATTGGAGAGAGTTAGGAGAAGAGAAACACATGCACATAAAATATAGAAACCACATTTGCCGAGAGCCTAGGAGGGGCATTTGCCGAGAGCGGCGCTCGGCAAAGAGTTTTGCCGAGAGCAGTAACGGAGGGGCTCTCGGCAAGGCGGTGACGCCGTCAGGGCAGGTCACGGCTATGGGCCCGCGACAATGTTTTGTCGAGAGCCTGATTTTACCGAGAGCGCGGCCTACGACAAAGGACCGTTTTGCCGACGGGCATTATTTGCCGAGCGCGGCTCTCGGCAAAACGGCCCACTTCGCCGAGAGCTGTTGCTTGCCGAGATGCAGGCCCACGGCAATCCTGTCACTTGCCGACGGCCGGTGTTTGCCGAGAGCCGCGCTCGGCAAACGTTTTCTTTGCCGAGAGCCCGCGTTTTTGCTCTCGGCAAAAATCTCGGATCTCGGCAAAGGACGTTTTTCCGGTAGTGTCACCAAAATTTCCCCATTCCCATTCTTTGAACTTTTATGGTAAAATGCCGACTTGATATGCCAGAATTATACAGGTCTTATCCAGTGAAGATAATGCCATGTACGGAGCAAATTGCAGAAAATCTACAAAGGAAATAGAAAACAATGCCATGTGCGATGCTCTGCTTTCTTTCTGCAATCTGCTGTCTGCACTCGGTTTGTCATAAATGATTTGTTCATCGATAGTCACCAAGTTCTTGGCGCCGGCTCGTAATACTATGTCAGCACATCAAGGTAACAAGGGTTGAAAACTATACATTAATTTACTTTAAATTGTAGTGAATAATCTTTTATTTTGTATTCCCTCCATCCAAAAAAATTTGATGTTCTAGTATTAAAAAAATGTTCCAGAAAACTTATGTTTTAGCTTTTGAACAACAGATTTGGCCATATCTGCTTGAGTTTGTGTTATGCATGCCTGCATGAATTCCTTTTAACGAGAGGTTTATTCCTTAAATAGTATGGGTCGCCTTCAATAAATAGGTGTATATAGATATTTCCTATTGATTACTAATTTGTCCTAATAAAAACTAAAAATATTAGAACATCACTTTTTTTTGAGACGGAGAGAATAGAAAATTGTATTTTTTTGTCATTATAATTGCATAAGCTAACCAATGACATTAGTTTGACATTAAAATTCCATGATAATCAACAGGAATCATCGAAACAAGTTAGCGTCCAAAATCTCCCATGGTGTTATGACACCATGTTTTGGTCCGTTGGGACATCTATGTCTTAGAGCCCATTAAGGGGCACGTCCATCCGTTTGCATGCCCAAGATATTATAATTAGTCGCTGCCTCACTTATTAGGGTTTGGGTTTCATTTTATTCTCGTTTTTCTCGTGAAATAGATATTATTCATAACACTTTACCAAGTGGTACTACGGTTAAAAACTTAACCGAGGTGTTAAAACAACCGCTCGGTTAATCCATTTTTGGGCGATCACTCTATAAGGCGGTTGGCAGCTGAAAGCTCTAGTTTAGTTTTGGTGAATTGATGAAAGCGCTAAGTGCTAACCTAATTTATCAAAGTGATTATGAGATAAGTGGCACATTCCATGTGGTGGAGCAAATGAAGATCATGACAAGATGCAATGCCATGGTGATGATCAAGTGCTTGGACTTGAAAAGTTCAAGGCAATGCTTATTTCGGAGGTGGGCAACGAGACGGTTATCAAAGCGATTTGGGCCTGCATATGGAGCCTAGTGGAGTGCTGCCCCTAGAGTTGGTGAAGTCATTTGTCTGTTGTGTCATGTTTGTGCTAAGCACTTGCAAAGGTGATACACATTGACCTTGAGCAAGGGTTTGAAACTTCATCGGTGGAGTGGCCAACAAGGCCTCGAGCCCGTTGTCATGTGGTGACCGCCTATGGGGAGGCGACGGCGTTGAATCTCCATACCTACCGAGGCCTCGGATGCGGTGTCGACGGCACTTTCGGGGTTTGTACGTGTGTTGAACAACGCTAGGTGAGTCCGATTCGGTTCGGACGTGTCATCACGAAAAATCGTGAATTCGAAACTCGGACGTATGATGGTGCGTCCGGTCACTTTTTGGCACGTTAGTCACAACTTAAGTGCACTCTGTTGACCGCTGCGATCGGGCGATCACCATTTGAAGCAGGGGACATGTGGCAAAATTCAAGGACCGGACTGGGGCTGCGTGGTCAAATCGACCGTGTGTCCCGGCCGCTTCAATTTTCAAGGCTGAGGAGCCAACGGCTCTATTTTCGTGGGGCTTCTATTTAAGCCCCATGGCCGGCTCAAGCTCACTTTTTTGACCATTTGCATTGACATAGCAACCTTGTGAGCTTAGCCAAAGCCCTCCCACTCATCTCCATCATTGATTCGTCATCTTTGTGAGGTTAGGAGAGAATCCAAGTGCATTACTTGAGTGTTTGCATCTAGAGGCACTTGGTGTTCGTGGTTTCGCTGCAGGATTGCATTACTCTTGGTGGTTGCCTTGCGGACTCCGAGGATTCGGAGGTTGAGATTGGTCAGGGGTCCATTTGTGAGGGTTCTGACCTCCCAGGTCTCTAGTAAAGGACTTAGCATACCCTTGTGTTTGACTCTCGTTATGGAGAACCTCCAAGTGAGAGCCTTTGTGGCCTTTCAAGCAAGTGTCGGTAAAAAATCAGTCCACGATTGGCTTTGATTGATTGGGGTTGAACCCAAACTAGTTGTCAAGCTCTTTAGTGTCTCATGAAAGTGAGTTTGGTTAATGTGGGGTCAACTAACTTAGGTGGTGATAGCCTGGATAGAGACTATCTAGAATTGTGGAGGTGGCTTGCTGCTTTTATACTTGCCTTCTAAGTGTTATTGTAGAGAATTTTTATAGGCTATTCACCCCTCTCTAGCCATTAGGACCTTTCGAGCAAGGAGGGTTTGGCCGTCGGTTTTGTTTAGCTTTTGAGCCGGGGTGATGCTTGGTTCGAGCATTGTGTGAGGAAAGCCCAAGCGCCGCTGCCAGGGATTGGCTGACTCGTTGGGAGAGCCGGCTGAATCTTCTCAAGGCTTCCTTGGCTATGAAGGAGCCCAGGGGTTGTTGGGCCTGGAGCCCACCGCCTAGAGTTGGTGAAGCTTACCTTGGCCTCCGTGGGTCGAGTGATGGGTGTCGGATGTCAGGTGCCCTGGCTCAGACGTCGGTGCATCAGGCCTCCGGGTATGGCTCGAGATGCACTTAGCGCATTCCTCATATCGGGCTCGAGGTGGCCACATGCATGCTTGGGCTCGTTGGGCCCATGAGATTGGTCAGTGCCCTCAGTGTTTCTGATCTTTCATCACGGTGGTGGGCTATCTAGATCAGACGCCGTTCAGGGGCACCCGTCGGTCTTCGGATCCTGGAATCCCTGGCGGTGGGGCTAACGCAGCCCCAAGGCTGTCGTGGGCCCTTCTGCCAGTGGATGGGTCGGTTTCTCCACGCACCCTTCATGCTGACGCTCAGTGCAGACAGTTGATGGAGCTTGGTGGATGTGTCGGCAAGTGAAGTTAATACGCGGACCGTGCCGCTCCACGCCCCATGTGGGGCGAACTGCTGTGCCACACGGCGCTGACCTGACGGACGAGAGGCCGCGGCGCTGAGTGTGCGGATCTGGCCCGTGGATCCCACGCTATGTGCAGGACGTACGTTACGTGCATTTCGGTTTCATGACAGAA